GAGAAAAAGGTAAGCAATCCAACTGAAAAATAGGCAAAAGATCTGAACCAGAGCCCCCAACAAAAGAGGAAATCCAAACAAGATAATTAACATATGAAAAAGGCACTTGACCTAATTAGCAATGAAGGAAACTGACATTAAAAATACAATGGGAGACTATTACATTCTCACCAGACTGCAAATTGTAAACTCTCTGAAAACACCACACATTGTAAAGAACGTGGTGGGCACCTGGGTGGCTCAGTCGGTTAACCGTCCAACTTCAGCTCAGGTCATGATCTCACAGTTTTTGGGTTCGAGCCCCACATCGGGTTCTGTGTTGATAGCTCAGAGCCTGGAGCCTGCTTCAGATTCTGTGTCTCCCTCTCTGCCCCTCCCAACCTCATACTCTGTCTCTGTCTCTGAATAATAAATAAAATTTCAAAAAAAAAAAAAAAAATGTGGCAAGAGCAGAAAACATTTGGTATACAATTTGAAAAACCATTTAATCCTATAGAAAAGTTCAAGATAGGTCACGACCCAACAATTGTATTCCTAAGAATATCCTAAAGAAATGTATGCTTGGATCCAAGTACAAAAGTGTTCACAGCAGCACTATTTGTAACAGCTAAAGCCTGGATATAATCCAAATGTTTATCAACAGTGGAATGGATAAATAAAACAAGGAATATATATATATATATATATTCAGTTCAGTTGTTTTAGTATTTATATATATTATATATATATAAATACTTTATATACTTTATAAAGTATTTATATATATATAAAGTATAAGTATATATACTTTATATAAATACTTTATATATATAAATAATATATATAAACACTTATATATATAAATATATATGTAAATACTAAAACAATTAACTGAACAAACTGTAACTAAATACAATACGACTGACCCTTATAAATAAAATGCTAATTAAAAAAAGGAAAATACAAAAGAGTATTTGTGATATCACTTCACTCATATGTTTAAAAAATAAAAAACCACACTATTTAGAAATACATGCAGAGAAGGTAAAAAACTATTTCTAAAATGCAAAGAAATTACCACCTCTGTGGAGAAGGGAAGTTTTTTTTTTATTGGGAATGGTATTGAGTGGGGCAGTTTCTGGGGTGCTGGCCATGATCTACTTCCTGATTTATACCATGAATACATGGGTGGTCACTTTACACACACACTGTACATATAAATTGTACACCTGTAAGTTCCTGGAATATAGGAGATAGTTAATAAAGCCAACTATTACTTTATATTGATGATTTTATTCTACTATTGCTATTACTTTCATCAATATTACTACTAATTTCTCCTCTGCAGATTATATATGCCTGCTTAAAATATCAGTTCACAGAGAATATAAAGAAAAATGCATATTACATATGAAAATACACGTATGAAAATGCCTAGATGCTATAAAGCTTCTTCATTTGTACTATTTTCCTTTCAGTTCCCTCACTGTTACACTGGTTTCTTTTTTTTTAAGTTTCATTTATTTATTTTGAGAGAGACAGAAAAAGAGAGAGACAGAGAGCACAGGAGCAGAGGAGGCAAACCCCAAGTTTGCCATGGGGCTCAAACTCACGAACTGTGAGATCATGACCTGAGCTGAAACCAAGAGTCAGAGGCTTAACTGACTGAGCACTCAGACACCCTTCCAAATAGTAACACTTCTCAATGTATCTTCCTTGGGGCACCTGGGTGGCTCAGTTGATTCAGCGCCCAGCTTCAGCTCAGGTTATGATCTCACAATTCATGAGTTTGTGACCCACATCGGGCTCTCTGCTGTCAGCACAGAGCCCGCTTCAGATACTCTGTCCCCTTTTCTTCCTGCGTCCTCCCCTGTTTGCACTCACTGAAAAAAATAAATAAACATTAAAAAACAAAATATATCTTCCTTCCTATACACTCTGCATTATCTTAACTGCAAAATTTTGATAGGAACTATAGTGTTTTCCTCTACGTGATTATTCTTTCAGCAAGGCTCCCATCATCAACAGCAGAAGTCCTAATGTAGGTTGAGTAAGAATAACAGAAGATGTGTGAACTGAGTTTAATAAAACCTAAGTATCAAAAGGAAATAATATAGGAATCACCCTAGATTCTCACTGTTCACACACTCTGAACTGCTCTTCTCAAGCTCCCAACCCACAGACTCAGTTCTTAGGTAACTGCTGTGACCGTTTTTCACAGGAAGCAACAGAAGGCAAATATTTACAAACAAGCCTATGAAACATGTAAGTTTACTACATCAAAATGCTCACTATATTTCAATGGTAAGGTTTTTTTTTTTAAGAGAGAAAATAAATATATGATATTTTAAAAGTAGATATATCTTGTCAAGTATCACAAAAACTATTTGATATTTCCAATTTCTGGAAACAAAAGATAACATCTACTAGTGATTTTAAAATTCCTTTCTAATGAAACAGGAAATTGTAAGACATTTCACTTAGGGCTTACTGATGCATGCTATAGAGAAAGTTACCAGAGGAGAATTAAAGCTACTTAAGTAACCAAGTTATAATTACCAACTTAATTACAACTTTCAAAAAAATGTAATATTTAACATCTAAACTTAATTTGATGAAAGGTAAGATTTTAATTCATTAAACTATCATTAAAACAAAGTGATATTAAAAAAAATTAACTTTAACTGAAAAGTATTCCAAATAATTATTGCGAAGAATTCCATTTAACAAAGTTCTTACAATCTTAGTATTTAATAAATTAATTTTAGTAATAAGCTGCAGTTTATTAACTGTTCTGCATGACCTTGCAATCAAGACACTAAAAGATGAAAACATCAACGAATCAATGTACATATATTTATCCTAAATATCTACTACACACAAGAACTGTTAAAAAACAAAGAAACATAAGACTTGGTCCCCACCTGAATGATGCATAATCTCAAGAAACATCTATGCATCTGTGCTAGATAAGAAAAGTTATCTGAAAATACGATTAAACAATAATATAAATAGGAAGTAATAAAATCAAATGTATGACGTTGCCAGTATTTTGAGGAAGGAAAAAATGCTGTCTAGTTGAGATATTTGGAGGAGCTTCATGGAAAAGGTAGAATGAGTAAACTTTAGGTAAAAGGTGGGGAAAGGAAAGGACATTCTTGGCAGAGAAACTTAGTGAACAGAAATAGAAAGTATGTTTAGGCAACAATGGACAAGTCTTAACTGGTATAAAGAATGGAGACCTCTAGGAAGGGGTTAGATAGTGGAGAGTTTGCTATATGAAGGACTGAAGAGTCTTGGGATACTTGGTACATTTTAAGTGCTAAAGTCATGTTTGCAACCCTTTGAAGGTAGAGATTGCTTTAATAAATGAGGGGTGCCTGGGTGGCTTAGTCAGTTAAGCAACCAACTCTTTGATTTTGGTTCAGGTCATAATCTTGAGGTCCACGGGTTTGAGCATCACATTTGGTTCCATGCTGACAGCACGGAGCCTGCTTGTGATTCTTTCCCTCATACACACTCTCTCTCTCTCTCTCAAAAATAAATAAAATTATAAATAAATAAATAAATAAATAAATAAATAAATAAATAGCAGAGAAAGAACCAGTATGTATCTGCATTGTATGCTTTAAATGTATGCATCTTGTATATGTAATTTATGCATGCGTTAGGTCAATTTTTAAAATTTCAACTACTATCAAGGATGTTCCCTTTACTGACAACTCCTTTACCATGCTTCCATATTTTCATGATCAAACACATTCAAAGTCAAGCTACCATAATTATGTAACCAAAGCCTTTTAAAAAGATAATGCTCTGGGGGCACCTGGGTGGCTCAGTCAGTTAAGCTTCAGACTTCGGCTCAGGTCATGAACTCACAGTTCGTGAGTTTGAGTCCCATGTCAGACTCTATGCTGACAGCTCAGAGACTGGACCCTGCTTGGGATTCTGTGTCTCCCTCTCTCTCTGTTCCTTCCCTGCTCACACTCTCTCTTTCTCTAAAATAAAAAAGATTTAAAAAATTAAAAAAAAAAAAAAAAAAAAAAGCTAATGTTCTGGGGTGCCTGGATGTTAAGCATCCAATTCTTGGTATCAGCTAAGTCAGTTAAGTCAGCTAAGTCAGTTAAGCAATCAATTCTTGGTATCAGCTTAGATCATGAGATCAACCCCCAAGTTGGGCTCCGCAATGGGCACGAAGACTGCTTAAGATTCTCTCTCCCTCTGTTCCTCCACTACTTGCATGCACGCAAGCATGCATGTTCTCTCTCCAAAAAAAAAAAAAAAAAAAGTAATAATAAAAAGCTAATGTTCTCTTTACCTCTAGCTTGCCTAGTCACATCTATCTTGTACACTGCTGCCAAAATAATGTTCCAAAAGAACCGTTCTGAATTAGGTTTATCTCTGCTTTACAAACTTGGAAATGATGCCCACAGCCTTTCCTCTAAGAAATAATCAACCTAGACTTTAAAGTCTTCTACAATTTGAGCTCAACCTACCACACTGGTCTTATTTTTCACTACTTTCTTTACATAAACATCATCTTTCTTCAAACTCCATTACGTTTTTTCTAAATATATTTTGTCTATTTTCATTTTCTATGCCTGTCCTCAGGTGTTCTCTCCAAAGGATATATTCTTGCCTTCCACTCTAATTCTACCTACAATTCAAAATCTACCTCAAATGCTTACCCCTATGAATGGAGTCTTTTCTGAAGGCCCCTTCAGGTATGAACTCTTCATTCTCTAAACTTTCACTGAAGTCTGTGCATGAAAACTAAAAACACCATTCTTTATGTCATTAATAGAGAATGACCTTGGGGACCTCACATGATCTATACTCGTACATATATAACTAAAACTTATATAGGACAATCTAGAAGGACATGCTTAGCACACATATTCATTCAAAACATACTTACTGACAATGATAATTCACATATTGTAAATATCCCAAAGACATTCACGTAAGAATACAAAAATAGAATGGTTATCTTAACAGGTTTTTTTTTAAAGGAATTTTACCTTTTCAGTTGTAATAGGTTTTGCAGGCTTTTCTGGTTCCTTTTCTTTCTTTTTCTCTTCCTTTTTTTTTTCCTTTTCTTTCTAAAACATAGACCAAAGTTTTGATAAGTTCACTTTTAAGGAAATGTCAGCTGTTAACACATTTTTATTTTATTCGTTTCAGTAATTATTTAAGGAAGGATTCAAAAATGACAATATCCAGTGATACTGAAATATAAAAGTAAACACAGCAACTACATACTCTCATTGAGATTACATGTTGATAATACAACATGTTTTAAGAAATTTAAGACAGAGGTGAAAGTATTTAGAACTTCTTCGAAATTTCAGTTTGTTTTAAACAAATGAGACTTTTTTTCAATAAATTCTCACTCCATCTTAGAGATTAGGCTTCCTAATACCAACCATAATGTTGAACTTTGAGCAAGATCACAGATCTTCACACAGATGAAGACATTACAACATGTAAATGTGAGGCAAAAAGGGAAAATATAATTAAAAAAAATTTTTTTAATCTTTATTTATGAGAGAAAGAGAGACTGAGCGCAAGCAGAGAAGGAGCAGAGAGAGAGGGAGACACGGAATCTGAAGCAGGCTCCAGGCTCTGAGCTGTCAGCATAGAGCCCGATGTGGGGCTCAAATCCACAAACTGTGAGATCATAACCTGAGCTGAAGTCAGACGCTTAACCAACTGAGCTACCTAGGCACCTATTTAAAACTATCACAAAACAGGAGCGCTTGGGTGGCTCAGTTGGTTAAGGGTCCAACTTCAGCTCAGGTCAAGACCTCACAGTCAGTGAGTTCAAGCTCCAAGTCAGGCTCTGTGCTGACCACTCAGAGCCTGGAGCCTGCTTCAGATTCCGTGTCTCCCTCTCTCCCTGCCCTTCGCCTGCTCATGCTCTGTCTCTCTCTCTCTCTCTCTCAAAAATAAAATAAACATTAAAAATAAATAAATAAAATTATGACAAAATATGTTTAGTCCATTACATAATGTGATTTTTAAAAAGACAAATACAATAATAATTTTCTCATTTAAAAAAATGTTAAGGATATCCCTGATAACAGAGCAAACTGACCAGTTAGTGTATTTAACCCAATCCAGTCTAGGTAAAATGTAATGCTACTATGATGTACACAATCTGCATTTCCAAGAAGGATAAAACAGGATATAATATTAAAACTTAAGGGCCCCAAACTCGCCAAAAAAGGAAAATGAAATAAAAGAATAAACAGTGATTCGGGGTGCCTGGGTCAGTCAGTTAAGAGTCTGACTCTTGATTTCGACTCATGGCATGATCTCACGGTTCATGGGTTTGAGCCCCAAGTCTGGCTCTGTGCTGACAGTACACAGCCTGCTTGGGATTCCCTCTCTCCCTCTCTCTCTGCCCCTCCCCAACTCTCGAGCACTCTCTCAAAATAAATAAATAAACTTTAAAATAATGATCAAACAATGAGCGTTCATAAGGCATTTAAAGGGAAGAGATATCTAGAAACCTGTAACTGAATCACAACAAATGAGTATTAGTTAGTATCTTAGTTTCCTTTCAGTAAATGGTTAAAGATACACTGATGAACCTCAAGAAAGGCAGAGTAAGAAGCACATAAGCACATTTAGTCAAAATGCCTATGGGCCTGTTTGTACCTTTAAAATGGTATTTGAACCACCTCTCTCAACAGCAGAATTTTTACTATTTGTAATTGAGAAAATACTGGCAATTCCTAGGCTATAACATAAGGGTTTAATAAAAGTTCCTATGGGCCAGACACTGTGATAAGCACCTTATTTTCTAATTTAATTAATCAATAAGTGTCTGAAAAGAATGTCATAATCATTTTACAAATGAAGAACAAAAATTAGGAAAGGGATAAAGCCACACAGCTCATCAGCAGGAGGACCTAGGGAAGACCCCAACTCTCAAGTCACTGTTCATTGCCATCCAGTGGAGCACTGGTACTTAGTACTATTCTTCCATAGAACAATGGTTAATATTTCCTGAACCCTTACTATGTGTGAGACAGTGTTTTTACTCATTTAATCCTTCCAACAATTCTATGAGGTGAGTAACCTTATTCCCGTTAATAAGTGAAGAATAAATGAAATATGCAAAAATCCTTTATCTATTATGAAATGTTTGGTGAAGAAGGCAATCAGTGATTGTCACTAATATGTTGGGAATGAATTATTCTATAAATTCACAAGATTGTTAATTTCTCAAGGAAGGTACAATCAAAAGAGTGGAGAAGCAGCTTGTCTTTCTAATCACTATGACTGGTAAGCACATACGAAATCACCAAAACTGAATTAGATTATTTACCTATGTTTAATAAAGAGAGAGCACAATTCAGTTCTCTTTAACCCTGGAATTTCAGCTGCTAAAATATGGCTGTTATCCAATCTGATTCCAGCAGGGGTATTATGACACAAGCTTTGAAGCAACATTAAAAACATGGGCTCTAAATTCAGATCATATAGTTTGATCCACAAATGACTCCCATCTCTAGAATCAAAAGCTGCTAAAAGATCAAAGAGTACTGTGAAAACCTAATATGTTTTAAACTATTTTCTCAGCAAGAACAAAGTACCGCAGTGTTTGGTATTATAAAATAGTTCCTGAAACTTGGTTGCTATATGTACAAATGATACAGTGAAACACTTTCTGTGTAAAAATAACTGAAATAAATGTTCAGTTCCTAGAAGGTAAAGATAAGCACACAGTGGGTTCATTATACTCAAATGACACTTGAGTGATTTAATCAAAGATACGGTCTTCAAAAACTTTTATTATGTACTCCTACCTTAAAAAGTTACAAGCATATATACTCTACCAAATGTATATATTTATTTACAAAGTATATATAGCACTATATTATGCACATTATAAAACCCACATAAAAGAAATGTTGAAAGTATAACAAAAAAAGCACAAATAGGCATAAATAAACTGCCCTGGGGTTCTCTCTAATATCTAATGCTATTGACATTAGACTTTGGAAACTACTGAATTAGACCAATGCCCTTTTTTAAAATTGAGGTATAATTTACATATAACATTAATTTCTGGTGTACAACATAATGATTCAATATTTACATGCACTGTGAATTGATCATTACTAGAAGTCTAGTTTCCTCCTGTCACCACATAAAGTTACATAAATGAAATACAGTACTGTTGCTCTAGTTACCATTCTATACATTGCTATCCATAAATTACTTACTTTATAACTGAAAGTTTATATCTCTTGATCTTCTCCAATGCCCCCCAACCCCAACTCTGGCAACCACCAATATACTCGTTCCATCTATAAGTTTTGTTTTTGTTCTTTCTTTTGCTTTTTAGATTTCACATATAGATGAAATTATATGGTATTCATCTTACTCTGCCTGACTTATTTTACTTAGCATAATACCATAAAGATTCATCCATGTTGTCATAAATGGCAAGATTTCATTTTTCATATGCCTGAATTGTGTCTGTTATATATATATAAACCACATTTTTCTTTTTTTTTTTTATTTTGAAGAGCATATGCAGATCAGGGAAAGAGCAGAGAGAGAGAGAATCTTAAGCAGGCTCCACACTCAGTGTGGAGCCCAACACAGGGCTCAATACTAAAATCCTGGGATCAGGACAGGAGCCAAAATCAAGAATTGGGACACTCAACCAACTGATCCACTCAGGCACCCCTTAACAACATCTTCTTTAACCATTCATCCACAGATGGACACTTTGGCTGTTTCCGTATCTTGGTTATTGTGAATAATACTGCAATAATCATATCTTTTCAAATTAGTGTTTTCAGTTTCTTCAGATATCCAGAAGTAGAACTGCTAGATTATACGACAGTTTTATTTTTAGTTTTTTGAGGAACCGACACACTATTTTCCAGAATGGCTACACAAATTTACATTCTTACTAACAGGGCATAATAGATCCTTTTTTTCTATGCCCTAACATTTGTAAATTTTTTGCCTTTTTGATAAAAGTCATTCTAACAATGCTATCTCACTGTGGTTTTGATTTGCAGTTCCCTGATGATTAGTGATGCTGGACATCTTTTCATGTGCTAGTGGGTCATGTGTATGTTTTCTTTGGAAAAATGTACATTTTTATGGGATTTTTTTCTTGTTATTGAATTGTGTGAGTTCCTTACATACTTTGAATATTAACCCCTTATTACATATATGGTTTCCAAATATCTTCTCACATCCAATAGGCTGCCTTTTCCTTTCACTGACAGTCTCCTTTCTTGTTCAACACCTTCTTAGTTAGATGTAGTACCCTTTATTTTTGATTTGTTGCCCTACCTTTTGAAGTAAGATGCAAAAAAAAAAAAAAAAAACAACCAAAAACCATCACTAAGACTGATCTCAGGGAACTTAACTGCCTATGTTTTCTTCTAGTAGTTTTATGATTTCAAATCTTGCATTCAAGTCTTTAATCCATACTGAATTAATTTGTGTATACAGAATAAGATACTGGTCCAGTTTTTCCAAACCATTTATTGAAGGCATTGTGCTTTCTCCATTCATATTCTTGCGTCCTTGGGGATAAATTAATTGACCATATATATGCAGGTTTATTTCTGTGCTGTCTATTCCGTTGCAGCAATCTAGGTATCTGCTTTTATGCCAATATCATACTGTTTTGATGGTCATACCTTTGTAATATAGTTTGAAATGTGAGGCCTTCAGCTTTGTTCCTGTTTCTCAAGATTCCTTTGGCTACTCAGGATTTTTTGTGGTTCCATACAAATTTCAGAAATATTCGGAGAAGATGGCGGCGTAGGAGGACTCTGGGCTCACCACGTCCTGCTGATCACTTAGGTTCCACCCACACCTGCCTAAATAACCTAGAAAACCACCAGAAGACTAGCAGAACGGATTCTCCGGAGCCAAGTGTAGACAAGAGGCCCATGGAGGAGGGTAGGAAGGGCAGAGAGGCAGTGCGCACCCCACGGACTGGAGGGAGGGAGCCGGGGCAGAGGGGCAGCCTGCTGGCAAAGCAGAGCCCCCGAGTCTGCCTTGCAAAAGCAGAGGGGCCAGATGGAATGTGTTTTGACAACAAGTGGGACTTACCATC